CTGTCTTATAGTATTCTCTTTTGCTATTGTTTTTTTTAAAAGATGCAAATCTTTTCTACCATTACAAGACAGGACCAGAGCCTTCCCTTTGTCTGTCACTGATTTCATCAAGTCAGCAAGATAAAGGCAACCTCACAGGTATGGTCCTTCTTGACRTACAAAAGGACTTTGACACAGTGAATCACAGTATTCTCACATGTAAATTGGAAGCCCTGGGGCTCCAGAAACCAGATGTAAACTGGTTCAAGGACAACCTACATAACAGACAGCAGTATGTAGATATTGGAGACGTAACACCCACTACAACAAAAGTGATATGCGGAGTCCCACAGGGTTCCATTCTCGGATTCTCCATCATTGTTCCTCACTTCTCATCATTGTTCTCCCCCATATAACTCTGTCACTTAATTTTTGTACCACAATGGAATTAAGTGTTTCTCGCTTTCTTGTKTTATCCAAGTACTAATAATAAATGTACTGGATGTGAATGTACATGTAATATTACTGCTAAATAAAATCAATCAATCGATGTCAGTGGCTGATGATGTCCAGCAGGTGCCGCTGTCAACAAGCAGCTGAAGACGCCTGCCCTGCAGCTGCAACACAGCGCCTGTCTGCCTGTCACTCAGGGGACCCGTGTCAACAGCAGAGGGAAGAAGAAGACACGTAGAAGAGGAAATCAGAAAATAACGCTGCAGCAGACATGGACCTGCGGTCTGAGCTGCTCAAGTCCATTTGGTACGGTTTCACAGCCCTGGATCTGGAGAAAAGTGGGAAAGTGTCCAAATCTCAGCTGAAGGTGAGTGAAGGGGTCATCTGCTGGGGTGAAATGGGACAAGAAGGAGCATTTTTCTTCTGATGCCAAGGTGGACACTTTTTTACTTGTGCTGCCTCATTTCCTACTTGAGTCTTGCGTAAGAAAAGGGGTTCCAGGTGCTCAACTCGCTAAATAAACCCAACCAAATACTTTTGTTGTTGAAGTCGTGTTGGAGTGTGTGCTCCAGGAAATAACTGCTCTTGTGTTCTTCTTATCATCTACGTTTCCTGTGTCAAGCAATTCTYTTTTTGAAATATGCCACAACGAGGAACAATTTTGTTCCCTATATTTTGTGCGAAACGCTTACACTGCTGAAAGGAAGCACAATACGCACCTCTGTCTGGCAGGAGAGTAACAATTTGCTCTCAGTTTTATACATGAGTGGGTCCCCTCCCCATCTCCAAGCTGTGCTCACGCTGGGCCTTAACGTGCCATCTTGTAGTGCAGAGAGACCTCTGGCACTGGAGAGCGGCCTGTTGAACCGAGTGCATGCACGTCAAAAAGAACATTGTTACATTGAGAGCAAGGACACAGTGGAAACATGCTGGTGATAGTTGTGTCTTGCCACCGCTGTCTCAATGAAGCCACTGTACTTTTTATTTCTGTTGTTGGTTTCACTGTTGTGTCATTTATTGTAGCTCTGACTCCATTTCCAGCCACCTTCAGCCTCATGACTGGGCTTATCCCTCACCCCACCCCATCTCCCCTCCCCTCCCCATGAGGGTGCAGGCCGTGCACAGGCACCATGTTGTGCTTGATGGCGCTCACAGGCAAGGCTGTTTGTGTGCGGTGGCCTCAAAAAGTGGCAGATGTTTTAGAGTGCTGGAGTTTGGAGGCAGGATGTGGTTATGGCTCAGCACACTGAAACTAGGTGTCTGCCATCATCAGACAGCTCAAGATGTCTCTGCGACAAGAAGGTGGAAAAGTAGTAACACTGCTCAAAAACACACCCATCTGTGATTTACTAACTCGTAGAAAACTAATGTATATTTCTGTTTTTATGAGTCTACTGTGTTATCTCTGCAACTGTCTCGCTTCTCATCAACAGTGACTTCAATTGGCCCAAAGCACTTYTGAATCTTTTCTTCCACTTTACATTTTAACAGTGTGTTTTATCAGAATTATTAGAAGGAAATCACTGAACCAGAGACATGACATCAGTATTAAGTTCAAACCCTGTGACCTATTCTGCTCACAACTACAGGAAATACTGCTGACTACAACACACACGCACATACACACATCCTTGTACTTGCATCAAACTGAGGACATTGAATTGACTTCCATTCGTTTTTGTAAACTTGTATTACTCAGACATTTTCCCTAAAAATAACCATTAGTCTATTCCTAACCCTAACCTGAACCAAAACTTAATTCACACCATACCTCTAAACCTAACCAGTAAAGCACAGTAAAGCTGCAAACGTCAAAGGCCTCACTTTGATAGTAACTATGGCGCAAATGGACCTCACTTTGTTGTAGAAACAAGTACACACACACATGCATGCACACACACCAATACTGCACCTCTGAGGGAAGTTATTAATCATGCACAACACAACGTATAGCATGCAACATGCCTTCTTCCACAACCGAAACTGAATGTTGTTCTTTTTATACCTGCAGAAGTTGTTTTCCCACAATTCCAAGCATGAACAGTTTATTGTGAAGCATAAAAAAACAGGATGTTAGCATTTATATTCTGACCCTTGGGTTTGGTTTTTATCAAAGTTGTTTTTGTCATTTGGTTCCTTGGGTTTAATTTTTTTTTAAATTGTGTGCCCTTTTGTGATTGTTCACTATTTTATTTTATTTTATCAGTCAGCCAAGTCCCTGTGTTAACACCTGCTTCCCATACTCATTAGTCTCAGCTGCCTCCACCTATCTCACCACTCACTCAGTCTATTTATCCTCTTGGTTTTCTTTCTCATGTCTTTCGTTTTGTTCATCTCCCTCGTGATTTTGCTCCTGTAGTTTTTTTTTTTGTAATTTTCCTGCCATGTCAGTCTTTTATTTTTATATTTTGTATTTTCTTATTCTCACGTCAATCTAAATGCTTGAGTCCTKTTCCTATGGTCCTGACAACTTGTTTGGTGCAGAATTTCATAAAGCAACCCTTTTTTTGTCTTTTGTAAAAATGCTAGAAAATCAACAAAAAAAAAAGATAATGAATTTCAGGCTAGAGTAACAATGCATTAACACATATCTTGATGTTCTGGATGTGGCTGCTCTAATCTCAGCATCCTCTCTCTCTCTCTCACACACACACACACACACACATGTTTGTTCATCAACCCCGTGGGGATCGGGCATTGACTTCCATTCATTTTTTTAGACTTTAGCCTAACCCTGACCATTTACCCTACAATTAACCTCACAGTTACTTATCTGACCCTAAACTTCACCTAAACCTTGGTCTTAAACCTAACCCCCCACCTGTAATTTGCATTTGGACCCGTGGGGACCAGGCATTGGTCCCCACGATGCACTTCAGTCCCCACGAGGGTGGATTTTTGGGAAAATTGTCCACACGTTGTAGGAAAAACCCGTACACACACGCGCGCGCGCACACACACACACACACACACACACACACACAAAACAAATCAGCTTCAGGAATCTTACAGAACTGAAAACCTTTTGCAGGAAGGACGGGCAAAATATCAAATAACTGAAAAACTCAAAAAGTTTTGCCAAAGAGGATGTTATTTTTGTTTTAAACACGCAAAATACACCAACTGTATGTCAATTTCATCTTTAATTTTGCAATTATGAAGAATTTAAAAGCACATCATGTTTAATTTTTTTTTTTTTTTTTGTAATTTGGGCATTATTTAGTGATTCTGCAATGGAAACACTGAGGACTTTCAAAGCCTTTAGGCCTCGATATATGATCAGTTTCTTATTGTTTAAATATTCCCTGAAAGTGCAAAAATAGTTCCTGTGGCACCAAATGGTTCACAGTTGTGATGGTCAACAAAACTGCTTTGGATTAATACCAGTTATGTTGTAAAACTGTAAGCATTATTGCAAAATATGTTAAATTTAAGTCCCAGACCAGTTTAAGGAATAAAATGTTTTCACTCTTTTACTAAAACCAGTGAAAACATATCTATATGTACACAATATCATTCACAGCTGTGGAGACACTGGTACAGTTGTTTATTATTACATTTAATTTAATTTATTTTTGAATGATGGTAGATATGTTTATCTGTTTGGTTGTTTGTTATTTTGTTTATTAGCTGGACCTTGAGTCTGAAATAAAGTTCTACTAGTACTGCTATATGTCTACTTTCTACTCTTCATCTGTAAAAAATGTATAAATTTGTCATATTGCATAACTTGAAATGTTTCTCAAACATATCTTCTTGAAAATCGGCTTATTTTTCTGACTTTTGATTTCAGATTCAGATTCTTTTATTGTCATTCAACATAACATCAGGGATGCACTGTAGAATGAAATTACGATGCATATTAGCACACGACATAAACAGTTTGACAAACTATAAAGCAATGTAGAGTTCAAAATACTCAAATTAAACAAAGTAAAGTATCTTAGGCATATAAAAACAAAACAGAAGAAATATATGGTAATAAAGTAGAACTACAGTGAGGTATAATCCAGATCAATATCGAGGTAGAGGTGGTTTAAAAAAAGATATGTAGTAAGGTGCGTACATTTGCATTTGTGCAATATATAACAGTATGTGTGCATTTGTGCAATGTGCAGCATTATGTGTGCAAAAACAGTGAACAGGTAGATGACATACAGTTAAAGGAGTGTTTGGTCAGCAGCTGAGCAGATTAAAAACAAAAATAATTCTGAGCAGGTAGATGAGGTTGTAAATCAGACTTGGGTATTTATGCAGTGTTCATAAGTCTGACGGCGGTGAGGAAGAAGCCGTCTTGGAACCTTACTGTTCTGCAAGACAGGCTGCGGTATCTTCTGCCTGAGGATAGGAGAGATAACGTGACTGGGATGAGTGGGGTCTTTGATGATTCTGATCGTCCTCGACAGAAAGCGTTGTTTGACCAGTTCCCCAATAGGTGTCAGCGTGACCCCAATTATTTTCTCAGCTGACCTCATCACTCTCCTTAGTGCAGGGGTCTGCAACCTGCGGCTCTGGGGCCACACGTGGCTCTTTGGTCCCTCTGCAGCGACTCTTTGAAAACATAACAGAATCATTTTTTTGTTTGTTTTTATACCTACAAAATAAATCAATTTGTATGCAAATATGTGATCAATACTACTGATACAAAAAGTAAAACCTGTTGATTAGCTCATGCTAACCTGTTGTTTACTTTTAAAAAAATCCAACTTCTTTCTATATTTTTCTCAAATCCATCAGAATTACCTTTAAAGAATTCAAAAACTACATAATAATAAGAGTTAGTAAAAAAATGCCTGAATAGTTCAGTTGTACTAGTTTTTAATGAAATTCTGCCTCAAAAAGGCCCACGAACCACCAGTTGATAATTACAGTTGTAGCTTGCTTTGTGGCTGAACACATTTTATTAGTGCGTCAAGTAGCTTAAATGGCTCTTTTGATCGTAAAGGTTGCAGACCCCTGCCCTTGTGCCTTCCTGTCTGAGGTGTTGCTGCTCTGGTGCCACAGAGAGCCACAGAATCAGCTGAAAACCAACACTTCAGTTTTCTAAAGAKCTAAATTTTAAGTTATTGTTTAAGGAGGTTGTTTTTTCTCAAGTTTAAAAGAAAATCTRTCTTGTTCATTGTTTATTTATTTATTTATTTTCTTCAGGTTTTATCCCACAACCTTTGCACAGTCCTGAGTATCCCACATGATCCGGTTGCTTTAGAGGAGCACTTCAGGGATGATGACGATGGCCCAGTTTCCAGTCAGGGCTATATGCCTTACCTCAACAAATACATCCTGGATAAGGTACAGTAAATACCAGCAAAACCTTTTGCTTCTTTAAAAATACTGAGTGTAATTTGGCTATTTTAAATCCTTGCATTTTTTTTTCTTCAGGTTGTAGAAGGATCTTTTGAGAAAGAAAACGTAGATGAACTCTGTTGGACGCTCACAGCAAAGAAAAACTACCAGCCTGATAAAAACAGCAACTCAGTTCTACCAGAGAGAGACGCTTTTCGACTCTGGTGCCTTTTTAATTTTCTCTCTGAAGACAAGTATCCATTGGTTATGGTTCCTGATGAGGTGGGTTCAACCTGTAAACCCGTAAGCATCCTTCAGTCTCAGGTGTTTTAATGACTTATAGTTTCCTCTGTACTTCTCAGCATTTTAAATACTTCAGAAAACTTTCAGCTGTTTTAACCATCCAGGTATCAAACATTTCAGTTCATGCAGGAACTGAGGGCTATGTCTATGGTATTTATAACTTTAATACTTTTTAATATATTTTACTTAATGTTTTTCTTCTCATTGAAATAATTGGGGATTCTCATTTTAGCTAATTTTATCATTTAGCTACTGTTTTACTGACTTTAGCATTTAGCTATGGTTTGGTTAACTTTTTTTGGTTAGCTAAAATTATGCTCACTTTGGTTTTTAGCTATGGTTTAGCTAATAGGTTTTGACTGTGGTTTTACTTGATTTAGCTTTTAGCCACTGTGTTGTTACTGGTTGGATGGTTTTAGCTTTTAGATTCTTTTTCATTTTTTTTTTTGTTATTTAGTTCTTGATTACAACTTTTCTAATTTTAGCTTTTAGCTACTGTTTTGCTGGTTTTAGATTTTAGCTACTGTTAATTTTATTTTTCGATGCCATTTTGCTGATTTTAGCTATAAGCTACAGTTTGGTAATCATAGTTTTTACTTACAGTTATGTTGGTTTTAGGTTTTAGCTACAGTTTTGTTAATTTCAGGATTTAGTCAGTTTTTCCCATTTTAAATTTCAGCTATTATTTTGCTGGTTTTAGCTTTTATCTACTGTTAATTTATTTTGATTTCAGCTGTTGTTATACTGATTTTAGCTTTTAGCTACAGTTTGCTAATCATAGTTTTATGCTACTGTTTTGATATTTTCAGTTTTTAGTCTTTTTTATTTTAACTTTTAGCTATTGTTAAAAAAACTAGCTTTTGTTATGCTAGTTTTAGCTTTTTGCTACTGTTTGTTTTTGTTTTTTAGCTACTGTTAATTTTTTTATTTCAGCTGCTATTATGCTGATTTCAGCTTACAGCTCTCAGTTTGCTAGTCTTAATTTTAGTTTCTTTTTTTCTCCATCTTAACTTTTAGCTAATGTTTTGCTGTTTTAGCATTAATTACTGTATCTGTTTACTGTTTTAGCACTGCTTACCTAATTTTTGCTTTAACACACAGCTAAAGGCATTGTCATACTATAACGTTTTAGACAACTTATGCTAACATATTTAAATTTTAAAGACCTCTACAATGAAGATGAAATTAAAAAAAAAAACAACTGGAAGCCTCTTTTAAGTGTGTACTTACTTCAGTGCTAACAAACTGATCAAATGTTTAACTTTTGTTAATAATTTAGACATAAGAAAAGTTTCATAAGTTGGCATAAGTTGTCTAAAAGGTTTTAGCCTTACAAAAAAATGTTTTTGTTGGTTTTGCTTCTTGTTTTCAACTTCAGTCACATTTTTCATGATATTTTGCTCCAGTGTTGACTGTAATTCTGAGACTCCGGTCAGTAATCTGTGGCCTAAAAATAGAGCTGGATCTTGAGCCGCGGCTGAAAGTTTGCTTCTTTCCACCATGGAACACAGCGTTCGTTTCATGCAGCAGTGTGGGCTCGCTTCTCACTTGCAAACACTCTTTTTGGTTTCCTGTTGTGCTTTTTTTTTTTTACAGCCACTGCCAAAAGAAAGCCCCAAATGCAAGGACAGAGTATTTTTGTCTGCGCTCATAGTTTAAGAAAATACCATCCAGTTTTATTTCTGTATGTCTTTCACACGCCGACCACTTCACAAGACAAGCTGTGGTAGAACGAATGCTTCAGTGATAGGAAACAGTAAGATTTATTGAAACAACATACAGACTGTGCTGTTTGTGTTGTTGGGTCTATTTTTTTTAAAGAAAAAAATGGATACTGAAACAGAACCGTTTGATAAACACTTCATGTTATCACTTTAAATAATCTCTCCTCTGCAGGTGGAATACCTCCTGAAGAAAATATGCATGGGGATGAGTACTGAGTTTAACTGCGTTGAATTTGAAGACTTCTTCTCCCAGGACTCGGGACAGCAGAGCAGCATCACCGTCTGGGTCTTTCTCCAGATGATGAACTCTGGGAAGATTACCCGGGGGATTGATAAAAGCATCATCAGCATGGCTATAGAGGAAGTTTATCGGGAGATAGTTGGCGATGTTCTCAAAGAGGTAAACATCTAATTAGTTAGTCTGGTTTGTTTCCCAGAATGCTCCGTCTTGAGGCAATGACGTGTTTATCGATCTGCCTGCATGCAGGGGTATCTGTGGAAAAAAGGCCAGCTGAGGAGAAACTGGAAGGAACGCTGGTTCACTTTGAGGCCCAGCAACTTGTCCTACTACACAGGAGAGGACCGCAAAGACTGCCAAGGGAACATAGTACTGGATGGGAACTGCTGTGTGGAGGTAAAACCTGATTTTTTTTTGATGAGTCAAAACACCTCTATAGTGGTTCCTAACATTAAGGAGGGAAACTCCCTTCAGCAAAGGTGAGAGGGCAACAAAATGGATACCCGTTGTTTCAGCTTTCATCTTTGGCATTTGTTGGGAACTCTGCCRTTTTCAACATTTATCTATTCTCACTGGGACTTTTAGAAAAGGGCTGCTCTGCCTCAGGGGTCATGCTGCAGTCTTGCACAGGTTGTGTCAGGAAGGGGATCTGGCATAAAACAAATACTGAATCATTCACTGTGGCAATAAAAACAACTGTGACTGTGCAATAAACAATAACAAATAAAACAATCTAAATTTTCTAAATCAAAAAAAGGACTGTCAACTACTGTAATATTGTGCTTCTGAAGGAGTGAACATTTTGCTTAATGAAACCAGTGATTTGCTCTTTATAGTCTCTAAAACTTATAGTATATCTTTTTTTGTGAGGATTGTGTGCAGGCAGAATGATCCAGGGYGCAGGCAGGCTCAAAAGGGTAACAAAAAGCTTTAATAATAAACAAAAAGGCTGGCAAGGCAGCTCAAACTCTTCTCAGGGGAACACGGAACACACCACTCTGGCTGAAGACAGTACAAAACAATGATCGGACACAGACTGAGCACAGGACACAGAATATAAAGCAAACTAATTAAGGACAACAAGAAACACCTGGAAGGAATACAAGAGGAAACAGGTGAGCAAGGGCAGTGCTGGAGCAGGGCAGAGAAACACAGGGGAACACTGAAACACTAGAAAACTAAGGAAAAAAACACAGATTATGACATTTTTATCCTTGAACAATCCTTTATATTATATTATATTATATT